TGCTCATTCCCTTCTTCCCTATCCACACCCACAGCATCACTACTCTTAAAGGCAAATCAGATGTTTTTGAATTGGTTCCCAAACTGCCATACTATTCAACGATCATAATCAGAATTAATCCACACAAAATGCAGGACAAAAAGCTGTGGTGGTTTAATAATTTGACCAGATATCCCCAACTGAGGGAAGGTAACATGCGTTATGAAGGCTGGCCCTTTGAAAGCTGGCCTGACTGGTTTAGCCTTCCAGTGCAGCCCTCGCCAGTGTCTGTCAATGCCCTGAACAGCCCAAATGGGGTCAAAACCCATTGCAACAGACGAGGATGATGAAAACTCTTTCTACCTGTGAGGTACTGAAGCTGAAAATATGTTGTTCATTCCACACAGGAGGCCTGTGGTAAGAATGATAACTGAGTGCAGATCTTTCAAGTTTCAATCAGGAATTTTGAACAAAAGGTCTTATTTCCTCCCCGAATACTAACTGTGTGCTAATACTTTAGAGATGCCTTTTTTAAAAAAGTAGACAAAGCAACTTGCTCACGTGCTGCTGATGCTTAAAACCACAGACATTTATTTCTGCTTCTATAGCCAGAATTTTCATCAAAATGCAAACCTCAGAGGAACAAGGACATAGTAAATAATGGTATGACAATCTTAGGAAAAGCTCAGAGCTTGATCCTACATGGCTCAATTATGTAGTGCTGTCAGACAAGCAAATTTAGAAGGGTATGAGCAGACCTGTTCTGGTGCTGCACAACAAAGAGCCTGGACTGAACATGGAGCTCTTCTTGGCCAGTAGCAGCACAAGGAGGAAGAAGGGAGCACATAGTGAAGCTTCCCAAATACACACAAGGGATTTTACTCAAGACTGTTTTTCTTCAGAATATTATCCTTTGTTACATCCCTTTCCATGTTTTTGCTTAGTGTCCTTGAGAACATGGGCGTGAGAACACAAGGGGACCTGAGACTTAAATCAATTGACAGAAAACAGTCTCTGGTATATAAAACGACTGTACGCACACGTGGCCAAGTTGTGTTGCAGGGTAAGAGCTCTGTGCTCTCTGCTGCACACTCCTGGCCTAATCCTAACCTAAATGAAGCCAATGGAAATCTTTCCACCGACTTTAACAGGCTTTTGATCAGGGCTAGGGAAGGGCCTGCCTGGATTAAAGTCTTACTTTGAATGAGGTAAAGAGAGCTCAAATTACAAAACATCATTACTACTTACAATATATACTATAGAATATTTACTAATATACTTTAATGTAGGGTCTTAGATAATGTTCTTTGGAGATTTCCATTAATTGTCTCTATGATGGTTCTTGTAATGTTTGTTTAGCAAGAATTAATTTGGTTCTTATATGGCACGGTACATGGAAAAAAAACTCCTCTGTAATCCTTTTAACTGACTTTAAATGCTCATTTGAATATAATTATTTTAAAGGATTAATAAAAAGTATTTTTTAAGTTAGCAACAAATTAAAAGTTTAGGAAAAAACCAGGTTATTTTATTGTCTTTACATCTCTCTTTAAAATCATATTAATTTTCCTTTCCAACACTATTTTATTGTATTAAAATATAATCATACTAGAAAAATTTCTCATTATGTTAGCAAAAATGAATACAAGGTAGATAGTATACTAACACAATGACTGTAATCTGCTAATACAATAAGGCCTTCCTATTATGTTTAAACAAGAATTCAGTTCTTGATCATTCTGACATATTTCCAAAACGCTGCCTCAAAAGGATAAAATGTAGCATATTTCCATGCTTAAGAGAAAGTTTGTGATGTCCTTGTTTACTGCTAAAAAACAGGAGCAGCTAATAATGCATAATTTATGTTGTAGGAGATTCGATTTCTGCACTAGGAAACTGTGTATATTTTGGGGAAATACTCATGTTCATGATTAGCTAAACTCAGCTTCAAGCACATGTCTGATGAAATGGTTCAGGCCACCACTGTATCCTGAAGCCCAACAACCTAACCTCCAGCCAGCCTAAAGAAGAGAATTCCCCTGTGAGAACCTGCCATGGGGACCAGGAATGTACAGAGGTGTTAGCTTTTCTAGTATTTGACAATTTTGACCACTTCTATTACAGTTACTCATTAAGAGACTGTTTCAAAAAGAACTCAAGCAATGCTAAGTTTTGTAGATCGCAATCGTTAATTTTTACCCAGAGACTAGCAGCATGCTCTCTTTCAGTGTTGCTACATGAAAATGAGGAAAGGTGTGGAAAAATGCTCTGGTCAGGCTTGATACAGCACACACTGCCAAACATGGTGGTGGTGGTGGTGTAGAGTCCATCCTAAACAGTACCAGCAGTAAAAATAGCACCAGAAGCTTACCCAAATGAATACAGGATATCCTCTTCTCAAGCAAACTTGCTTAAGACTACCTCAGGACAGCATGTACTAGAAGTACCATAATGCTATAAACTAATACTTGGTTACTCTACAATTACAACAGAAAAACCAACCCCCAAAGATGCTGTTTTCAATTCCTGAGCAGACCATGCGTTTTGCTCTACAGAGATTACCCTAGCAGTAACCTCGTATTCCTGTTGCCACATGACAAAGCAGACTGTAACAACAGGGACTCAAAGTATTATCCGTAAATATCCAACAGCAGAAGGTAAAGGTAAGGAACAGCGATACAGAGAAAATCACCTACAACCTGAAAATTCATAGAGATCCTGAAAGATTCAAATTAAACTCGATGTTACATCTAATTGCAGTAGGCCTTCCTTCAAAAGTTCAAGTAGTTCTTAATAACAGCATCAAAAATATCTAACTTGTAATTACTGTATTGCACTAGTTAGATCAGTTGACCTAAAGGAAATAAATCAGATTATCTGAATATTTGCTCAACAGGGAGCAGAAAATTGGCATGAGAAGATTTTGACATTGCACCAAGTTTGGGCCACAACAGCAGCCCTCACAAACTTGATGTGGGGCATCAGTGTTGGTTACAAGGGTGTGCTGCCTCCTTTCTTCCCCAGATGAAAAGACTCTACACATTGTTTCAACATAAAACCAGTGAGTTGCAAATTCTGCTAAGTAACCAGCAATTTCTTTTGTAGCTTCATCAATCCTTTTGAATACAAACGCTTCTGGATCACTGAAAGCCAGAGAGGAGCAATTTCCACCCTTTTTTTCTCCTGGAAGAACCTGTGAGAAGTCAAAATTCATTGTGGGAAAACTGGAGATTATCCTGAAATTTGGCTTTTTAAATTACAAGAACAATAAAGCTGCAATTATAAAATGAAATGCAGGTGAACATTTGGGTACTTCATTTGTGTGCACTACCAGTGCCAATTTGTGCCACAAACTGGCTTGTGGATACTAAATAAGGAGAGCAATGTTTGGATACAAGTTGTATCATGAAATTAAACTTGTCTTCTGAAAATGTGTCCCTATCAAAAATATACATTTACATGAAGATGTCACACATCTTTCAACTCTTGGAGTGTTCTCAGATTAGCTCACATTAAGAAAATATCACACAGCCTAACGGTCTAACATTTTGCTTGAACAAACAGCAATGAATATCCAGTATCAATACATTTATCAATTACCACTTATCTGTATACCAAAAACAATCAATTATTAAATGTAAATAAAATAAATCTCTTAAAAATTGATTTCCCAGATGAGAGGAAAAACTAGTTAGCAAGCTGAGTGTGAAATTTACATGTAGTTCATGAAAAAGTGATTACTTACGGAATTAATTGATTTTAGAAATGAATCTGAGGATGTAAAATTATTGCATAAAAAGGAAATGAATCTGAAGATCTGCTTTATGCCCATGAGAAAGGTGTTTGTTTTTCCTTCCATGCACAGCCAATCCCAGAAGCTGTGATCCACCATGAAATCCCCACTCAAAGGCATATTCCCTATTATCCATCTTTGTTAACACTTAAACTCTTAAGTGTTTGTCAATAGCCAGGTTTTGTCCTGATTTGGTGTTAGCAATTCCTTTCTCAGAAGTCTTCATACTGAGATTCGGTTTTTAACCTGTCAAAATGTCACTCAAAAATGCATCTTCTTACAAAATTATTTCAATCATGAAACCTCCTTTCAGATACATTTCAGTGCTAGTGATGTCAGTCTTATCCCTTCCTCTTTATTTTCTGTGCCTTCCTTCTTGTTGCTTCTTATATGCAAGGTGTTCTTGCTGAATCATATTCAAGCTCTTCCTAAATACTTGTTTCATCTGTCTCACCTATGAAAGCTGGAAGGACATGAAGGTGTAAGAGAATCTTTGAAATAAACGAGACCTTTATTGAGTGCTCTGCATTGATTCACTGGTCACCTCTGAAGCACCAAGCATGGTGCTATTTGGGTCAGAACTCCCTAAGTGCTTTTCCACATTCTTGGAGCAGTTTAAGGAAAATGCAAGTTCTGATGCTGGAAGACAATCTGCAACGAACAACCTTGCAAGACCTGGGACTAGTGTTTTTGAGGTTTTCTTTTTACCACATGAATCCAAGAGACTAGTGGGAACTTTAAAAGGACTATTCCGTTCTTGAAGAGTAAGGTTGCTGACCCTAGCCATTATGTCTCAGCATAAACACTTAGGCACTGCATAAATTACAAGGTTTACTTTGGGAATAGATGCCATACTCCTTCGTGACAACTAGGATTGCTGTAAAACTTGTCACCAGCCTTTCTCTCGGACCACTGCTGTGAATTCCTGACAAAATCCCCTCACTTGCACACGTTGGGCCGTCAGACCCTTCTGGAGCCCTCCTGGCTGCGAGGAGGTTGCTCTGTTCCCCCCGAGAGGCCTCCCTACGGGGAGGGGGCCTATATCCCCACCGCCCCAAAGGGGAGAACCCCCTGCCCGGGAAGGCAGCACCTCTTCCCCGGGGGCTGGGGCAGGAGCCGGGGCCGGTCCCTCGCCCCCCGCCCCGGCACAGGCCGCCCCGCCTGGTTGTCATGGAGACCAGAGAGGCAGGGCCCAAAGGCAGCAAAGCGCCCGTTGATTGGCTGCGGGGCAGAGTCCAATCGGCGGGCGGGGTGTTCCGGCGGTGCCAAGATGGCGGCCAGGTAAACAGGGCCCGGGGGGAACGCCGGCGCCGGGGTTGTGGTGCGGGGTGTTGGGGTTGTTTGCGGGTCTACAGAGACCGCGGGACGGGGGTACTGGTCGCCGGTCTCCCGCTCGGCCCAGAGCGGCGTTCCGCTTTCCCCGGAGGCGGCTGCTCTCTCCTCGCCGGCCTACCGCCTCCCCCGGGCGGGCGCTTCGCCCCGTCCTCGCCCCCGGGGACCGGCGGAGCTCGGCCGTGCCCGGGGGAGGCGGTTGCCCCGCTCCGGGAAGCGGTCGCCGGGAAGGGCTGGACCTGCCGGTCCCCGCTGCCCCTGGGAGGAGGAGGCGGAGGCGGGGGCATTCGCTGCCGTATCGCTCTTAAACGGAAAGCAGCGGTAAACAAATGGGAAGTGGCAAAAAAAGAATAAGGAATAATAATAATAAAGAGCGAATAGCTTCAACCCGTGCACTTAAATCCTCCATTTCTCGCTGAAATAGGAGGTATTATAAGCTTTATAATGTGCTTGTCTTAAAACATCTAATGTTACTTACTTTTCTTAAACTAAAATATTTCTGATCATGTGTTTTGCTGTTTCTGTTTCTTCTGCAGACTGGTTATGTTTTTATCTTGGAACGGGTCAGCTCGAATAACTCTGGTGTCTTTGCAGTGACTTGAAGTGGTTTGGACTTGTTTAAACTGGAAGATGTGGAGTGGACTTTTACCTCCAGGACTGAATGAAAGTGATGTTGACTTAAGTTCTGATGATGGAGACGAATTGCATGGTTCATTTTCAAAGGAAGATGCAAAAGAAGATACCGAAACGGTGAAACTTTCCGAATTCCAGGAGAAGGGACCCGAAAGCAATGCCATCAGTGAGCCCATTGAGATACCACTGACAGGTGGAGAAAATGAATCTCAAACATGCCCTTCTGGAGTGTCTTTAAATATTTGGAATGTGGGTATTGTTACAGGTCTCCAAATGCCCAGGGCATAAATATAACATATTCAAAGTCGAGTGGCTAATTTTTAAATTAAAATAACTCGGGGTTGAATACTCAGTATACAAATCTGAAATGAAGTAAAATATGATCAGAGTGTAGTCATCATAAAATACCTTGGATTGTTTCAAGCAGGGCGAGCAGAAATTTAGACAGGAGGTGAATGTAACTTTTTTTTTCTCCCCCGAGTTCAGTGGTGATTGAAAAGCAGCAGAGAGATGTTTGGGTAGCTGTACAGTTGTATATAGATTTGTGGTTTCAGTAGTGTAGGGGCTGTGAGCTTCTTCATAACTGGTTTCTGCACGAGTAAGGATTTACAGCTACATGTATCAGCCACTGTACTGGTGATGCTTGTCTGCAAAGCTGAGGTGTACCCTTCTGCTTTCTGTAGGGCTTATTTGCAGGCATTCAGACTCATAGGTACTTATAACCTCTTGATTTTCTTGTTGCATGTAAAGATTGAATAAAATAAAGCAATCTTTGCGTTTTAGGCTTTTGAATCAAAATAAGATTTGGCAAAAGCTAGATATTTTCCTCCATCCATCAATCTGTGTAAGTAGCCTGCTGTGCAAGGGCTATGCTGTCAGAAATATTTGGATTGCAAACTACCAGCCTGGCAATAACGATACATTGAATAGCTCGACCAGTAATAACTGTATCCAGTGACATGTCCCTTGAGAAAACTGTGGGGTTTGAATAGTCCTGGGATTTAGGGAGGGCAGAAAGTCAGAGGTAGAAGATTAGAGCCAGTTCCAGTTTAATGCCATCAGAGTTGGGTGTTGTCAATTCATAAATTTTAGTGTCATAGATATAAGATATTGTGGATAAATAAGAGATTGGGACACTTCTCAGCACGTTATGCAGTTTTTTTAAAAATGAAAAAAAAATACTGATTTGCCTTTTCTTAATCTTGTAGAAATTTTTGGAGCTTCAGAAGAAAAACCGTGAAATGAAAACACAAGCAAATCAGGAAAACAAAAGCCGAAAAAGAAAGCGCCGCAGAAAAGGTGTTTTATGTAATTACAGAATTTATTTTCTCAAAATGAAATTAGTATCAATTACATTGGAATGGGATTTGTGGGGTTTGGTGTGGGGTTTTTTTGTGTGTAGGTTGTTTTGTTCTGGTGATTTTGTTTTGTTTTGTTTTTTTACCAAGATTTGAATGCCTGAGTAGATGCACTCTAGCTGTTAATGAGATATTGTTTTTCCACGTGTATGCATCATTTGTAGGACCAGGTTGTAAATTGCTACTTAAACTTTATAAGTAATACATTTATCCTCTCTTTTAAAAAGGAGGTGGACTCACTTGGTTAATACTGATTTCTCATTGCTAAGTGTATTTCAGCAATTTCATAGAACATACTTTTGTGTATTCTGGTTAAAAATTCTTCACAGATATTATAGGAGTTTCTTGATACAAAAAATCTTACAGCTGTGTGGTTTAAATCCACATGATCATTGGGTAAAACTCCTAATGTGTCAATCTTTCAAAGGAAATGTGACCAATTAGAGTTCTGTTAACTTCATTGGAAGCTGTAGGGTATTACTGTGTAATGTTGGATTTTTATTTTTTTTTTCCCCCTAGAAAAGCAGAAAAAGAACGATGAAGTGACTAAGAGGTATAACCAGGTCAATGTGATTATTTGAGGTCTGTTTTTAATATCGGGCAAAACTTGTAAAAAGCTTGACCACGTGCATGGCCAAAGCCTGGCTTTGAGCATCATAACAAATATCTGTTGCAGTTGTTCAGTGTCTCTGTTGGGCAGGCTGAGTTTGATACCAGTGATTGCTTCATGCAGTTTATTGCTTGATTTTTAAAGATCCACACAAATGTAACTTAAAATGGAATTAGTGTTATTCGTAATGGATGTTTTGCATGTAATTGCATACAAGCTGCTGTTCAGCCTGCTCCTCTTCCTCTTCTTTTTCCTCCTTGCCACTGTTACATTTACAGTTGACTTGATTATTTTAAAGGTCTTCTCCAACCTAAATGTTCCTCTGATTCTGTAAGTTTGCTTTCAAGATTGTGGAATTGCACTTACAGAGGGGAAGGACTAATTAATTTCACTTCCATTAAAAACTCTGAATGGGTGAAAAGAGCATGTCTGCCAAATGGAAGAATTCCTTTTAGTTTTAGAAAGAGTATTACAAGTTGTGGAAAGGTGACTGGTTATAGTAATCACTTTTTGTTTGTTTGTTTTTAGTAGTCAACAGTTGGCATATGAAGATAAATGGAAAGAACTTACACAATACTTTGGAATCAATGACAGATTCGAATCACCTGTGGATAGCAGGGCTCCACAAAAGGTGACTGTTGATACTGTTTACTTGGCAGTAAAAACTCAGCCTTCACTGAGATAAGAATAAAACTGAGACTATTTAACAATGAGTACTATTTAACAATGATCAAGTCACTCTGAGGAATGATAATTTCGTACATGTTTTACTTAATTTCCTTGTCAATGTCGCATGAATTGTACTTGGATTGAGAGGTTGCTGGGATTTCTTTTGAGACGGTATCCATGTCTGTTTTCTGTCTGGTCTTGTTCTTTGTTATCATGAGAACATTTCATATGCATTGTTTGACTTTCTTCTATTCTTGATTTTTTAATTATTATTATTTGTGTTTTAACTTTAAAATATGTCACACAAATCTTTTAGTTGACACCAGTGGCTATAGGAATTAGAGGGACAAACCTACCATACAGTTTTACTGAACTTACAACACTTTCTGTTCATAAATACTATTGTGCAATACTGAAATATTACACACACTTGTGTAATAATGTTTGAAATAACTGGTATAAAGTGATGGCTGAGTAAAGAAACTCATTATATTGCGAGTTCCTCATAATACTGTTTGTTCTGTAACTCTTCTAGTAAAGGCCTGTGTAAGTTCTACATCAAATGTTCTGTTAGCATTCTTTATGAGCAACCTTGTATTTTTCATTTGCCTAAAGAAAATTACTGCATGCAAGCCAGGAGACATTGTTCACTTCTGTCTTGAGTTCTTACTTTTGCTGGGTATTTAGTTGTCATTAAGTTGCTCAGGATAGATCTGGAATGAGACAAATGCAGATGCTCTCTGTGGAAGTTCAGGGACTTTAGTGGAACATGTGTTTCGTTAATTTCAGAAAATGCATCTAACAGAACTTGCTATCCTTGCAGCTTCCACTTTTTTTTTCCTAACTTCCACCTGAATAGTTCAGTGGAAGTTCAGGGACTTTAGTGGAACATGTTTCGTTAATTTCAGAAAACGCATCTAACAGAACTTGCTTCCACTTTTTTTTCCCTAACTTCCACCTGAATAGTTCCAGTACAGTATTTGCAGATCACTATTTCTCAGGAATTCTGTTTGCTTTTTTATTTTTTTTAAAGTATATGTTATGAAACTGTCATGTGTTTTCTTTAACATCATTAATATTTAAAACTAGTGAGGCTGTAAATTGTCTTTTTTTTGAGTGAGGTTTTTCTGTGAAATTCTGCAGTCAGTCAGTGCCTATTGCCCTGCTACCCTTCTGCAGTCCTTCTAAAGTTTCCAACTATAATTTCCAGTAAATATTTACTTTTTGTTATTACATTATTTGTAAATGTTGTCGTTACACATGTTATGTTGATTATAAAAGTTATTTTTCTTATTTTCAGAGGTTAAATTGTGAAGCTTTTTCATTGTTCTCCATAGGACTGCTAGAATTTTTAATTTATTAGCGCAGTGGAGTGGCACCGTGCCAGAACTCAGTTTTTGGATAAAGATAAGATCTTAGAACTGTAACGATACAGTGGTAATTGCCATTCTTCATGTTACCTGACACATATATTTCACATTTTGTTTAGAAAGCTCCAGGGATGGAAGAGATAAGCCAGATCTTCAGATGAAATTTTATTGTGACAGGCATAAACTAGTCCGTGTAATTTTTTTAACCTACAGTATTATCCTGCACATAAGGTGGAACTAATGCAATGATTTGTGCTCAGGCAGCCTTTCAGTGAATTCTTAATTATACTGTCCATTACAATACATAGACAAAGTGATTTGTGTTACATAGAAATTACGGGTTTATGCAGTGTCTTAAAATAAAGAATTTTATGAAAGAAACATTTTTAGAAAGGAGATGCTTCCTTTAAATGTGTTATTTCTTTTTGTCCTAAAGGTATTTGCTTTTCTTTTTCTAGTCTGGCCTTGAACTTAGCATAGAGAAGTCTGTGGCCGAAGGTGACATTGATAAGGCTGAGGAGCTGAGTGACAGATTAGCTACTCGTGAGGTAAGTGGGATATTAACAAAAGCTCTTGGGAAACTTTTAGTTTTGTGCATTTGTACAAAAAGTGTCTTAACTAAAACAGCATTGAAAATTGTTTGGGGTGTCTCCCCTGCTTCCTTAGCAGATTTCTGTCAGCCATTGAAGGATTTTGCTGCTGATGTAGTAATGCTTGGACAGCTGTATAAGAATTGAAAACATAACCATGGATGATCCCAAGTAACCTGGCTTTAAATCCTTCCTGCTGACTTCATGAGTCAGATGAGTCAGTAACTAGTTCTCTGTATTGAGCTGTTGATTTTTCTGCATGTTGCAAGTCAAGAAAACATGAGTAAGATGTTCCCTTCCTGTGAGTTCTCTGTGCCTCAGATTCTTCTTTGCATTCCCTCCCCAATAAGCTTGGGAGGCCTGAAGAAAGGTAGAGATGTAGCAAGTTTAGAGCAAGACATGCCCAAATATGGACGGATACACTCAATTGTGTGTCAGTGCTAGTTTAGAGCAAGACATGCCCAAATATGGACAGATACACTCAAACGTGTGTCAGTGCTTTTTTCCTGTATATTCATGTGAGAACTAGCTAATGGGTGGAAGAATTGTGAAGAATGGGAATAGATGGATGTCAAACAGTGCTGTAGCCTTAGAATGATGTTCATAGAATGAATGGATGTGTGGGGGTTTTTTGATCCTTGTCATAATTTTTAATATCAATGCATATCTTAAAAAAAAAAAAAGATAAAAATCAGGTGAAAACCACTTTTTCAAGATATTGTCTTGTTGGTGCTAGAAAAAGTGGACCCTTTAAAGATTTGTGTAGTGCTGAGTGAGTACTTAAACTAATGAGGAATCTACCAGATTGTAGTTTTATATAAGAAATTTCTTATATGAAGTGGTTAAATTGGTGCACATATGGTAGGTGGCAGCAGCTGAAGTACATAACTGAAATCCATGAAGGCCATTGTACCCACTGCTATTTGTGTGCAGGGAAGAGAATGTGAAGGAAGAAAATTGGGATAAAAAGATAGAATAGTTTTGAAGCCAGGTAGGAAAAAATAACCAAATAAGTACTACTGGAGATGAGTGGAGAAACTATCACTTTTAAGTCATCTGATTTATATAATTAAATTTGGAATATTTATAATTTCATTTTAGAAATTAATTATATTTTTTGCTTTCGTTTGTCTATGTTGCATCCTCAGTCTTCACAGAGTTAATGGGAATTTTCTCTCCACTGTATATACTAACAAAATCCAAAGGTATTAGAAAAGCATCAAGACAAACATTCTGAGTACTTCTCATTCTCATACAAATACTTAAAATGTTTTCTAAGTACAGGGTTTGAAGCTAAGCTTTAATGCAAAATCGCAGATTTAAATCTCTTTAATGTAATATAATACAATATTCTGTGATGGCCTTAAAAATAGATAGCTTTAATAAATAGGAAATATGGTTCTTAAGGTTCTGTAAATAAGGTTAGGTAAAACTAGCTGTTCCGTAGTGTGTGGTGTTATACAGTTATTCAACTCTTACATTTAGTCACTCAGAGTAGGTTCTAATGACTATGCTTTTATCTGCCTTTTCACCAATGATCTCAAAATTTCAATCCACAAAGGTAACAGCTATTGACAGTGATGGGAATGGTGTCTTAATGTTCCCTTTAAGCCTGACCAGCTTCTCCCAGCGATGCTGTTATATTATATTTTCCCTTCTGTGGTTACAACATGTTGTACTTGCTGTTCTCCTTCACAAATGTCATTATCCCATCTACTCTAAAGTGGTTAGAGTATCATAATCAATAAAACATACTGGGGTTCTAGTGCAAATTGTTTGACTATAAAAACAAATTAATGTAAGAAGTTTTAAGGTTTTGTAATATTTATGATAAGCTGTTATCTGATTTCAGTAGCCATGGGATTGTACAGCATCTAGCATATCCCAGGTGCTACAGCAATGTATTATTATTTGTGGAACATTAGCTCCAAATTGTTGACTTTCAAATATTAGCATGTTGTAATTCTGAAAACAAAATGCTTGAAACATTATTAGTATTCACAGCCTTGACTTGGTTTTGGTTAAGTGGGTTTATCTGAATAAATAGTATGTTGAAAGAAGGAAAACTCAAATGACTCTGGCTCGATCTCATGAGGAGTTCTGTCGAGGCAGAAGCCACGTGAATTCACTGGGGTTCTCTGCCCTTGTAAAGATGTGCTACAAAACCCACTGCAAGATTCGTTTTTCTTTGTGATTTTAAGAAGCTGGTGGTTTGGTTGTTTTAATAGATTTTTTTGAAATACTTTTTATTCTAAGGAAATAATTCTAACAGTGACTAATTGTGGTTCAGTGAAGAACTACAGAAAAGGGTTTGATTATGGAAGAGGTTGATTTGAAAATCAGTTCTGTATACGAGTACAATTAATAAAATACTGCTTTCATATTAGGTAGGACTGACTCAATTGCTACTTTCCTTCTCTTTGCAGTTTAAGGAAATGTCCCTTTTAAAACTCATTTTACGTAATACTTCTTAGAAATGAGTTAATTTTTAAAGTATGTGGCTATTTATATCCCTCTAACTTCCAAATGCAACACAAGACCGTGAGGAAGTCAGGCATGGAGCTGTGCTGTGACCGTATTGAAGTGCACCCCTTCTGAAGTCTGGAGAAAGAAGTGGATGAATTATTGTTCTTTTATCTCGACTCCATCTCTTTATGTATAGTTTTCATTTTTCTTGAGCGGCGTTGCAGGGGTGGGGGCAGGGAGTGGGTGAGAAACAGCTGCCTCCTGTTTGGGGTGCAGCCCCCCTCGCAGCCCTGTGAAAAATGTTGGGTGGGTAGGTGTTCTTTTTGAAATCAGGTGTAGGGGCTTTTAATCGGCACCATTTTCTTTTGCAAGAAGCAGTGACTGGAACCTGCTGATAAAGCTTTTGCTTTGAGGCACAGATCCCAGAGTTCTTAAAGCCGTTTCCTGCCTTAATAAGTGAAACTAATTTTTGATGTATAACATTTATAAGCCTGTGAAACTGATAGGGCAGCTTCAGTATTTAGAAAAATGAAGCCAAAAATAAACAGATGATGAGAATAGGCAGTAAAAACATGTTCTAAAAAGCAAAGGAATGCCAAAATGATGCTGTCAATATGCTATCATTATGACACAGTGAGAAAAGGTTTTTAAACACCAGATTCCTTTAAAATCGGTGATGATTTAGGCAATATGCATAATCTAGCAGCTGTGAGTGGATCACTGAGATTTACATCCTAAAAGCCTAAATGATACTGCTTCAAGGTTTTGGGTCTTTTGGTTTCCATGTGGTACTTGTTGCAGGTTCTTTAAGGAAAATGTTATTGTACTGCTGGAAATGAGGCTTTGGGTAGTATATTATTTGTTGCTTTCTTCTGCTCTGAAGAGTGTGCACAAATGCTGATTTCAAAACAGAACTTCTCAATCTAGTAGCATTCAAGGTTTTGGACTGAGAGGAGATAGCTCGGATACTTTGTGCATGAGGCTCTGTGTTTAATAGTGACTGCATGTCTGGATTCATACGTAGCTTATGAGACAATCTAAAAATACTTTACCTTTTTTTTTTTTTGGCAGTTGCGTTTCTAGTAAAAAAAAATTAGTTGTGCTTATGTGATGATGATGATAATTCAGTTTAATCTCTTGTCAAACCTCACTACAAAGTACTCCCCTTGGTCTCCTGTTGTCATCCTAGTTTGTGGACTAGAAGAATGGTTGCAATTAGTTTGGGAGTTAACCAGGGTAGCAGATCCTGGACTGTAGCATCCTTGGCCATACCCACAGCATGTTCTTGTCTGGGGTGTTCTGCTTCACTAAGAGTTCCAGTCCTCCTGAAATCCTTGATTGCGTTATTTTATATATTAGTGAAATTCTTCCTGAAAGAGTATGGGCATGTCTGCTTTATGTTGTACAGAATAATTTAGGCCCTGGGTAACTCTGCTTCTAGAACCTGGTCCAGCTTGAGCATCTCTGCCGTGGTGCATTTTCAGTCTATAAGATCAATACTTCTTTGGTATTTTTTTGTTGAGCATCAACATAATGCAGGTGTGTCATACTGCTTAATCTTAATTCACTGTGGATTTTTAAACACATCGTTAGACTGAATTACTTCTGTAATACCTACAACATAGTACTATTGGTATTAAATAGCAATTCATCGCAGTGTGCTGCTATAATATGCACAGCTCAGGTTTATTATTGTAATCCAGTTGCTGTCTTTGTTATTACATTCCAGGGCTTTCAGCATTGGCGGAGAGTCCTTCATGTTTCAAAGTTATTCTTTTCAAATGTAGAATGGTGTATTTACAGCTAGTGCTTGAATGCTGCATTTAATGATGACTTGTGTAACTTGAGAGATGCCAACAGAAGTGTTAATATTAAGGTAGGAGTTACCCCCAAAATTCTGAACCTTTTAGAGTGAAAGTTGTTTATGGTGACACTTGGGCTGAGATAAAATGATGTCCTTGGTGCTGCTGGAGGTTAGGTTAGTTGACATTTAATGGTAGCAGGTACTTGTACATGAAGTTGGGAACAAACACTTTGAACTATGTCACCTTTTTGGAATAGTATCTTGAAATGTATTTTAATTGTTCCTACTGTGTGTCTGGGAAACTGCCTGCGTTTTTTATAAGAATAAATGTTGATAAGTTAGAGCACTGTGACTGTACCTAGTTGGAGATGTTTATCCTTTTGTGTAAGGATGGTGTGTGGAGATAACTGGTAATTTCACTTTGTTGGAAATCTGTTACAATTTGGAGTGATACTTGGAAAAGTTCTTTTCCTAATTAAACCAAATAATTTTTGAAGAACCCTAATATATAAACCTGAAAATATTTTCCAAGCTGTTTTTCCCCTAGAAAAAGAATTTTTTGTAGTGCTTTTGTATGGAAATCATTGTGTATCTCAGGAAGCAGAATGCAGATTTCTTATGGCTCTAATATTCCAACACTTAATCTGACTAAACCTCAAACTTTGCATTATGCTTGTGGTTTTTTGTC